GTAAGGATAGCCACCTCTGCTTTCTTTTGGTTATCATTTTAATGCAATCCTTTTTTCATCCCTTCACTTTCAGCTTATGTCTGTCCTTAAAGTGAAAGTTAATCTCTTACAGGCAGCATATAGTTAGGTCTTGTTTTTTATTCACTCAACTACTCTGTCTTTTGATTGGATAATTTAATACATTTATATCTAAAGTAATTATTGGTAGGTAAAGGCTTACTACTGTCATGTTGTTAATTGTTTTCTGATTGTTTTATAGCTCCTTTGTTGCTTCTTTTTGTCTCACTGTCTTCCTTTGTGACTTAATGATTTCTCTGAAGCAATTTGCTTTGATTCCTTTCTCTTTATGTTTTGTGTATCTACTATAAACTTTTTCTTTGTGGTTATCATGAGGTTTACATAAAATATTTCATATTTATAACCATCTATTTTAATCTGGTAACAACTTAGACTGCATTTAGAAATACTGTATTTTAACTTCTCCCCCCACATTTTATTATTTGTGCCATAGTTTATATCTTTTGTATGTTGTGTATTAATTAGCAAATTGTTGTAGTTATAGTTATTTTTTAATACTTTTGTTTTTTAACTTTCATACTAGAGTTAAAAGTGACTGTGGCACAATAACAGTATTGGAGAATTCTGTATTTGACTGTATACGAATACCTTTAATGGAGTTTTATTCTTTCATATGTTTTCATGTTAGTGTCCTTTTGTTTAAACTCGACAATTCCCTTTTGCATGTCTTGTAAGGCAGGTTTAATGGTGTTGAAATCCCACAGCTTTTATTTGTCTGGTGACATGATTTGGCTCTGAACTGCCACCCAAATCTCATCTCGAATGGCAGTCCCCAGGTGTCAAAGGAGGGAGCTGTTGGGAGATGATTGGATCATGAGGAGTTTTCCCCCATTATGTTCTCATGATAGTGAGAGTGTTCTCATGAGATCTGATGGTTTAAAAGTGGCAGTTACCCCTGTGCACATGCTCTCTCTCTCTCCTGCTGCCTTGTGAAGAAGGTACCTGCTTCCCCTTCACCTTTCACCATAATTGTAAGTTTCCTGAGGCCTCCCTGGCCATGAGGAACTGTTAGTCAATTAGACCTCTTTTGTATATAAATTATCCAGTCTCAGGTAATATCTTTTAGCAGTGTGAAGATAAATAATACAGAGAATTGTTACTGACAGAGTGAGGTATTGCTGTAAAGATAACCTGAAAATGTGAAGGAAACTTTGCAACTGGGTAACAGGCAGAGGTTGGAACAGTTTGGAGGGCTCAGAAGAAGATAGGAAGATGTGAGAAAGTTTGAAACTTCCTAGAGACTTGTTGAATGGTTTTGACCAAAATGCTGATAATCATACTGACAATGAAGTCCAGGCTAAGGTGGTCTCAGATGGAGATGAGGAACTATTGAGAACTGGAGCAAAGGTCATTCTTGCTATGCTTTAGCAGAGACTGGCAGCATTTTGCCCCTGCCCTACAGATCTGTGGAACTTTGAACTTGAGAGAGATGATTTAGGGTATCTGTCAGAAGAAATTTCTAAGCAGAAAAGCATTCAAGATATAACCTGGCTTTTTCTGAAAGCATACAGTCATATGCATTCACAAAGAGATGGTCTTAAATTGGTACTTATGTTTAAAAGGGAAGCAAAGCATAAAAGTTTGGAAAATTTGCAGCCTGACCACGTGGTAGAAAAGAAAAACCAATTTTCTGGGGAGAAATTCAAGCTGGCTGCAGAAATTTACATAAGTAACCAGGAGCTGAATGTTAACTGCCAAACAATGGGGAAAATGTCACTAGGGCATTTCAGAGGTCTTCAAGGCAGCCCCTCCCATTACAAGCCCAGAGGCCTAGGAGGGAAAAATGGTTTCATGGGCCCTACTGCTGTGTGCAGCCTTGGGACTTGGTGGTCTGTGCCTCAGCCACTCCAGCTATGGCTAAAATTTCCATCTCCAGCTATGGCTAAAAGGTTCCATAGCTCAGGCTGTTGCTTCAAGGGTGCAAGCCTTGGTGGCTTCCATGTGCTCTTGGGCCTGCAAGTGCACAGAAAACAAGAGTTGAGCTTTGGGAGCCTCCACCTAGATTTCACAGGCTGCGTGGAAACACCTGGCTGTCCAGGCAGAAGTCTGCTACAGGGACACAGCCCTCATGGAGAACCTCTATTAGGGCCATGCAGAGGTGAAATGTGGGGTTGGAGCCCACACACAGAGTCCCCACTGGGGCACTGCCCAGCGGGCTGTGAAAAGAGTTCCTCCATCTTCCAGACCCCAGAATGGTAGATCTACTGACCACTTTCACCATGTGCCTGGAAAAGTTGCAGGCATTCAGTGCCAGCCAACGAAGGCAGCCGTCGGGGCTGTACCCTGCAGAGCCACAGGGGCAGAGCTGCCCAAGGCCTTAACAGCCCACCTCTTGCATTAGCATGCCCTGGATGTGAGACAGGGGCTTAAAGGAGGTTATTTTGGAGCTTTAAAATTTAATGATTTCCCTGCTAGGTTTTGCACATGCATGGGGCCTGTGGCCCCTTTATTTTGGCCAATTTCTCCCATTTGGAATGGGAACATTTACCCAATTCCTGTACCCCTGTTGTATTTTGGAAGTAATTAACTTGTTTTTTATTTTAAAGGCTCATTGTCTCAGATGAGACTTTGGACTTGGACTTTTGGGTTACTGTGGAATGAGTTAAGACTTTGGGGGACTGTTGGAAAGACATCATTGGTTTTGAAATCTGAAAAGGACGTGAGATTTGGGAAAGGCCAGGGGAAGAATGATATAGTTTGGCTCCATGTCCCCACCCAAACCTCATCTTGAATTGTAATCCCTGCATGTTGAAGGAGGGGCCTGGTGGGAGGTGATAGGATCATTGGGGTGGTTTCCCCTGTGCTGTGTTCTCATGATAGTGAGGGATTTAAAAGTAGCTGTTTCCCCTGCACATGCACACTCTGTCTCTCCTATCACCTTGTGAAGAAGGTGTCTGCTTCCCCTCTGCCTTCCATCATGATTATAAGTTTCCTGAGGTCTCCCCAGCCATGGGTAACCGTGGGTCAGTTCAACCTCTTTTGTTTATAAATTGCCCAGTCTCAGGTAGTATCTTTACAGCAATGTGAAACTGAACTAATACATCTGGGAAATTCTTTTTCTCTCCTTCCTTTCTGAAGGACAGCTTTGCCTGATATTATATTCCTGGTTGCCAGGTTTTGTACTTTCAGTACTTTGAATATATCATCCCATTCTCTCAGCCTACATGATTTCTGCTGAGAAATCCACTGATAATCTTATGAAGCTTCCCTTGTATGTGAAGAATTGCTTTTCTCTTGCTTCTTTGAAAATTCTCTCTTTGTCATGGTGAGGATCTCTTTATATTTAATCTATTGGAGTTCTTTTGGGCTTCATAAATCTGGATGTTTATTTCATTTATGTCTCCAAATTTTGAGAGTTTTCTGTTCTTATTTTTAAAAATAAGTTTCTGCAACTTTCTCTTTCTCTGCTTCTTCTGGAACTCTTGTCATGCATATTAGTTTTCTTAACAGTGTCCTGTAATTTTTGTCAGCTTTCTGCAATCTTTATCATTCCTTTTATTACTCTGACTGGGTAATTTCAAATGACCTGTATCTGAGTGAGCTGATTCTTTCTCCTGCTTGATCAAGTCTGCTGCTGAAGATGTTTGTGAATTTTTTCAATTCAGTCATTGTGTTCTTCAGTTCGAGAATTTCTGTTTGGTTCTTTTTATGGTTCCTATCTATCTTTTTGTTGAACTTCTAATTTTGCTCATGTATTATTTTCCTGATTTTGTTTACTGTCTATCTATATTGTTTTGTAGCTCACTGAGCTTTCTTAAGATAATTATTTTTAACTCTTTGTCATGCAGTATAGATCTCCATTTCTTTAGAGTCGCCTCCTGCTGCTTTATTTTCTTCCTTTGGTGGTTTCTTGTTTCCCTGATTATTTGTGATCAGTGTGGCCTTGCATTGAAGTAGGTACCTATTTCAGTCTTTACATACTAGCTTCAGTAGAGGAAGCCGTTCACTAGTCAGATTGACCAGAGATTATGGGTGGGCTGTCTGTTGGGGTCTATGCACAGGATTTCTGTTGGAGTTCTAAGGTAGGCAGGGCTGGATTCTGGGTTCATTCATTGTGGTTGTCTGTATTCTGTGCACAAGGACTGGCTTGAAGCATGGATCCTTGAGGGCTGACTTGGCACTGAAATGAGCCTTAAGCCTGAGTCTGCAGGGGCCAGCCTAACATGGGGATCACCTAGCACCTGAGTTCATGGGGACAGACCTGTTCCTGAGTTTATTCAGGCTGTCCTGGGACCAGGGTCCACTGGGGTGAGCCCAGCATCTGGGTCCACATGGCCAAGATCTCTGGAGGCTGACCTGGTGCTGGATCTGCAGGGGATGGCCTGAATTCTAGGCCCATGGGTACCAACTTGGAGCCTTGGGCTGCTGGGGCTAATGTGGAGGCTAGAGTCTTGGGGGCCAGGCTAGAGCTGGAGCAGGTCTGAAGTCTAGGTCTTCTGTGGCCACCTTGGAGTCTAGACCCCCAGGGGCTGACCTGGTCTGGGGTGAGCATGGGGCTGAGGCCACAGAGGCCAGTCTGGCCTGTGGCAGGGCTGAATCCTGGTGCCGGGGTTTACTGGAGTGGGCTTGGTGCTTGGGGTCTGTGGTGAAGGTGGGTGCTATCTTAACTGTTCCTCTTCCATGCAAGAGGGTATCTCTCTCCATGCTGTGCTGCCCAGGCTTGAAGGTGGGTGACACTGGTAATGTGAAATTGTCCTTCCTATGCACTTCAATGTGTCTTTTCTTACTTCTGTGCTGCAACTGGGTGGTACAACCTCTCACCTGATTCCTGAGCTCTAGTGAAGTTATTTTCGTGCATGGATACTTATTCAAATTGATGTTTCTGCAAGGGATGAGCACTAGAAACTCCTGTTCTGACAAACTCCTATTCCGGTTCTTGCTGACATCACTCCCTGAAATAGTTAATATACTTAACAGCTGAACACGGATAGGATGTTCACGGAATATGTTGACAGGACAAAAAGTTGAAACTGTTGGCAGAAACCCAAAGTCAATATCGAAGCCAAGGAAAACATTGCCTGCGGTGCCACATTAGAACAGCTTGAAGACCGTTCATTTTTAAGTGACAAGAGACTCACCTCCAAGAAGCAATTGTGTTTTCAGGTAGCAAATTTCTATTATTCTGATTGTTTCCAAAGAAACTATAATTTTTAAAGTATAGTTTTTTACTTTATGAGAAAATTAGTCATTTATATTCTAATTTCCTGAGTATATAGATAGTAGAGAAGGAACTAATATTCCTTTATGTAGAAATATTTAAATGTAAGATGACTTTAAATCAAAAAGAATACTTGATTGATTTAAAATTTTTAATTGGGCTTTAATATTTTCAGAGGTTTTCTTTATTTAGGGATTTTTGGACTGACATTATTGCCATTATTTATTAATTTTCTTTTTGCTCAAATCAAGAGGTTTCATAACTGTTTAATCTCTCTCTCTACCAATTCCCTTTCCAACATTACTAGCCACAGAGTTTGCCAATCAACAATAAACACAGCAGTAGTCTGAAGGTCTCAATTTGTATCTTGGGAAGCATTATAAACTTTCCAACTCCCTAGACACAAATGTAGAGAAAAAAACCCCTTGTTTTCTATACCAGAAACTGTGTGCTTTGTCTTGTAATTCAGACATTTACAAGAAAATCTGTATCACCTTAAATTAAGATTTATGTTAAATGCAGTCTAAAACCAACAGAGTTATGTATTGTTTTCTTTTTTAGAATGATTTTATTCAAGCAAGCAACTTATTTCATTTCCTTGTTTGCTACAGTTTCCTGTGGTAAGTGAATTATCTATAAAGCATGAAATTCAGGCTAAGACAGGAGTAGCCAAGCAAGTCGCACCACCTCTGGAGAAAGCTATTGAACATACAGCTTCGGGGATGGAGATAGTCCCTGATGATTCAGGACACGTGTCTATTTAATGTTCCAGAACAAGTACGACTTGTGAGATATATTGCTGTATACATACATTGCAGACCAGAGGAAGGAGCTCAGAAGCGGGAATGTCTTGGGACTTGTGTTAATAAAAACTTCCGTTCACAGATGACACTCTGCAAAACAAAACTCAAAACAAAAAAATTACTCCTCTATTTTTATCAACATTAAAAAATTAAACATTATCTGAAATTTCAAAAGAATGCTGGGCATTATATAGTGTCTGGGTCCAATCCAAGTATCTGTTAGGTACATGATACATAGTTTTACTCTGGACAGCCAGGGAACCATTTCAAAAATGAAAGTACCTGGTTTAAATTTAACTTAGCAAACCAGGCATTTGGATAGTTCTAGGTGAATAACTTTCAACACTAGATTTCGATCTCATTTCTCTATTAATATCATTAATTTTTGGAGAAAAAAATGATTCTGGACATTTCATTAATCGCTATAGAGGGAGTTTTCTCTGTGTCCCCACAAGGCATGATTCTGAGTCTACGGTGACTTAAGAGGGCCACATAACAATGAGTATTTAACTTTCCTCTCGTATGGCTACAATAAACGTCTACAGGGAAGGTTTACATTCATAAAGAGACTACTTTTCCAGGAAAAAAGGCCTTGATTCCCCCTAAATCACAATTCCCCTGTGTCTGTCCCTCAACCCTGATTGCTTTTCTAAACCGTAATTTACCAACCCATGTGCAAACCCACTGAAAACTGAAAAGGAGCATGAGCCAGGGATACTGTGAACCACGGCCACCTCCAGGTGGTTTCTCATTTTCTGTTTTTTTCTTCTGGCAAAATAAATCATGATTATGGCTAGGAAAATTAAGGATGTAAATAAGCAAAAAACTATAAACTACATATTGCATGTAGTCCCCAAATTCAGAAGCAGTCGTTGTTAAACATCTTTTGTTTAGTCTTTCAGATATTTTTCTACATATGCCTATTTGCACATTTTACAAAAAAGAGTTATTAACTATGGATACTCTTTGACTTGCATTTTCCACTTACAGCTACCTTTTGGTGCAAATAAATGACATTTTTTGGAGCTTGCTATTCTCTTTTTATGGTATGTTTGTGTGCACATTCTTATGCACTTAGTTATTTCTGTAGAATACATTTTTTGAAATAAAAATACTAGATTCAAAGGTATGAATATTTTAGAAGGTTTTATGGTGTGGCATCATGAAATTATCTTTCAGAAAAGTTACTCCCTAGTTGACTTCTTCTACCAGCTAATAAGAGTCCTCATTTACCCCACTTAGGCCAACTCTAACAGGCTTCTGTTGCTTTGCATCCCGACATGTTTATCTTTCTGGAAACAGTATCCTAATTTATTTCTGCAGAGCTACTGCCTCTCAGTTTTTGTCCATGTGGTTCTGGTGACCCTGACTCTTCTGCTGAACCAGGAAGTGCACACATCCTGCTGACTGCAGTGACCCAATCAGAGCCAACATCTTGCAATGAAGCGTTTGTTTAGACGTCTAGAAATAGGACTCTTACTTTTTTTTTTCCAATTTAACTTGAAACATAAGAGAATACAGAGGCCTGAGCTGCTGGTCCTATTTTGCTACTATGTGGAGCTTGAGAGTAATGGTAACATCATGACTGGAGCAAGCGGAAGGAGACTATTGTCCACTGATGCTATCCGTTGAGCACAATGTGGGGTTACTCCTTAAGCCAGAGTCACCATGGGCTTTTTGGCTCCTGAACCAATAGATTTCATTTGTATTCAAGCCACTTTGTACTAGGTTTTCCATCATTTGCAATCAAAACCAGTATACAAATACTGGTTATTTAATTTTTCATTTTTACTAATCTCATGGAAAACTGGCTTCTAGTTGTTTTAACTTGCCTGTATTTGTGATTCTTCCCATTTTCGTGTACTTACTAATCACTTCTATTTCTTTTGTAAATTATCTTTTCATATTTGTCCACTAATTCTTTAAAATTAGAGTACTTTTCTTCTCCTTATTGTTTATGTAATTGTTAAACAAGACTGAATAACCTGCCCAAAATCCGTGGACATGGGAGCCCATGTGAAAGCTTTGAAAGCCACCATCATTATGAGATAAACTATATAACAGTACTTTACATATGCTCCAAAATACAGTACAGACACGGCTATCATTGTCATGATCATCATTATCAGCATGATCACCAACTTAGGAGGATAAGCAAGAACACCTACTAGAAGTTTCTTTCCATTCAGCAACAAAGTTGGCGTTTTTCTAGTCACTCCCTTCCCTGACTGAGTCACATGGCAGGTCACAGAGGCTCAATGGCAGAATGGGAAGCTCTGGGCCAGCACCAGCCATTGTGTGCATCCTTGCGTGTGAACCTAGGTGCTGGAAGAGGAGTGACTGCTTGATAATTATGAGTCAGTCAAAACCACCAACTGTCTGACAAAACAGACCTCTTTGTAACCTGTATTGTCACTAAACCAATGCCTCCATGCTTTGTGCATACATGAAATCTAGGCAATACACTTGTATTCCCCAAAGCTTCCATTTGAAGAGATCTGTGCTCTTCCCAAATGTAAACCTTACCCGAGAGGTGGTCATCTGGCCGCACCTCTGAGAGGGATAGAAGTCTTGCTGTGTTGGGTGGTCAGACTGGGGCTCAGGGCCAGAATTCCCAGGGGGTAGGATTGTGCAGAGAAGATGGCACTCTCCAGTGCTTAATAAAATGCACGTGGTCTAAGTTGCCCATTCCCTCAAAGGCAATAAAAAAATAGGTACTATTTAAATTGAAGAGTAACTACTGCCCCAGCGAATGGACAGGTTGTCATCGGAATAGCCATGGTTAATGCCCCAGCGAATGGACAGGTTGTCATCGGAATAGCCATGGTTAATGCCCCAGCGAATGGACAGGTTATCATCGGAGTAGCCATGGTTAATGGTCAGTTGACTGACTGAAATGAATATGCTGGCTGACCAGGAAAGCTCATTAAGCAGACTTGGAAGAGAGTCTTTCCAGGTAAATCCACATTTACAAATTAAAGCAGTAATGACACCTAATTCTCTAATAATAGGTGGGGTGCAGTGTATTTTAGAGCTGGGAATAATTCCAAACAGCAAATAGTTCAAAATTTATTTTCCATTTAGCATATGCATGCATTTGCTTAAACTATCTTAAAAATGAGTAAAAAATATTGTCAGTTTGCTTGAATCATACTGAGATGCGGAACAATATTTAGCACTGCATGCTAGAAAAGGACACAGGATTGGGAGTCAGGGCTGGGTGACTGTCGCAGGATTTTCATTAAGTGTGTGGATCTTGGGCAAGTCTGTATGCCCTGAGATTCAGTTATTTAACTTTCTTTCAAAAAACCTAATCCAGATGCAGATAACAAAACCTGCTTCTAACTTCCCTTACAGAATTGTGAGAAGCTGGTGGAGATGTTTGTAACCAAAGTGTTTTGAAAATAGAGCAAATATTATTCTTTTTAAGGCATGATATTTTCATAGCATGTCAGGCAACAGGGAAAAACTAAGTTAGGATTTTATTTTATTGTGGGTAATTTATGTGCAAATTTTGGTGCAATTTAATGAAAATAAGCCAAAGTTTTAATGCAGAAGTGCCCAGAAAATTAAATAACAATCTACATTGTTCAAATGGTTGCCTTAATATATTTTATTTTCTCAGCATAATTAGAATTATATTATACAGGTCTTGGAGTAGTCAGTCAGTGGGAGAAGTTAAGACAACAGATATCTTTTTGTTAAAATTATTATTTGAATTATCTCAAATTAACTTTTATGGTTCTATCACAGGATGTCTGACTCAACTATATGAAAACGCCTTCTTCAGAGGTGGGGATGTAGCTTCCATGTACACCCCGAACGCCCAGCACTGCCAGATGATGTGCACATTCCACCCAAGGTGTTTGCTATTCAGTTTTCTTCCAGCAAGTTCCATCAATGACATGGAGAAAAGGTAAAAGTTGATATTTCATTATTGGAGAAGCCATTTTTCTAAACTGAATCGGTTTTGTGCAAAGAGGTGTAGTATAACTGAGAGTTCTGTCTCAGACGGGGCTCAAGGACCAGCTTCAGCAAAATCCCTTCAAGTGGTTCTTACCAATGCAGATTCCTCGGCAACAACCCAGATTTGCTGAACCAAAGTTTCTTGGGACTAGAAATTGCATTTTAAACAATCACTGTGTTTATTTAAAGTAGTAGAAGTTAGTCATTTTCTATTCAAAGCCTCAAAATGCTTGAACATCGTTGGGCTAAGAGATTGTCTCCAGAAAGCGTCTAACAGGCGAACATTTCATCTGAATAAAGAAACAGACTTAACTGTGTGACCCGTGATCACATTAGTGGCTAGCACAGTCCGAAGGAAATAACGTAAGACAAGCATTTTGCGGAGAATATAATTGAGAAACATCTAGAACTTGTGATTTTGGGACAGGGCAGATCTGAATGACGCCTAAAGTGAGCCAGTTTGGGCACCTATGGCATGATGCTATGTATGGTATGTGTGTGTTCATGTGTGCTTGTGCTTGTGTGAATATGTATTATTAACTGGAGATTTGTAAAAGTATTGGAAAAATACTACTTATGATTTTTTTTTTTTTTTTTGAGATGGAGTCTTGCTTTGTAACCCAGGCTGGAGTGCAGTGGCACGATCTTGGCTCACTGCAACTTCCGCCTCCCAGGTTCAAGCGATTCTCCTGCCTTAGCCTCCCAAGTAGCTGGGATTACAGGCACGCACCACTACATCTGGCTAATTTTTGTATTTTTAGTAGAGACGGGGTTTCACCATATTGGCCAGGCTGGCCTTGAACTCCTGACCTTGTGATCCACCTGCCTCTGCCTGCTAAAGTGCTGGGATTACAGGCGTGAGCCACCGCACCCGGCTGTAATTACAATTTTTATTACATCAGAGAGATGCTTATTAATCACAAGCTACAGTTTCATCTTAATGATTTTCATTTTGAATAAGAATAAGCTTTTCTTTGTTCTTCCCATTTCCATATTCATAACTCTTTTCTCATCTTCTCCACGTGAGTTTGTGAACTAGAAATTGGATAGTCATTCTCTGATCCTACATGTTAAACTTGTAGAGAAAACCCAGATTGTATGTGAGGATCATCATCTTAAAAGTGGAGGTAGGTTCTAGAATTCTTATAAATAATGAAATTAACATGGAGGCTGACATTTGAGACAGAGGGAAGTCTTTCATTAAGTGCAGACTACAAGGAGTTAATAAGCAAGATGAACACACAATATACAGATCCAGCTCTTATCACTAAGTTAATTTTTTAAGTAAATGAAAGTATTTGCAAAAATAATTACCAATTAAGGACATAGTTGCCTGAAGGTTTAAGAATACAGGAAAAGTCATTAACTCTTCAATGTGGTTGACTTCCTGTACTTAAAAAATGTGAGTGTAAAGAAAACGCAATGCTGAAGTTAAATATTATGGGGATGTTATAAAATTACCTCTAAGAGTGTTCTTTCCAGCAAGTTTTGGGGAAGCTATATTATTTCCCTTATTCCTGGTTTTATGTTAGTGTATAGAAAATGCTAGACATTTCCTCAATGTATGTTTGTTGTTCTACTTCCTAAATAAAGCTACTTTTAAAACAGGTTTGGCTGCTTCTTGAAAGATAGTGTTACAGGAACCTTGCCAAAAGTACGTCGAGCAGGTGCAATTTCTGGACATTCCTTAAAGCAGTGTGGTCATCAAATAAGTGGTAAGCTGCGAATTTCTTAGCTACATTTGAGTTAATATTGAATCTAGAACAGCTTAGAACAGCTTTTGCTAAAAGTCTGTACTGCTACAGCCTTTTGGAAGGAATCACTCATAAAGATAGAAGATGGGGCAGTATTCTGGACACAAAAGAGGGACCCATATTCATCTGGACACTTCTGTTGTCTTTATCAATCGACACATATTTAATGAGCCTCTATTATTTATGAGGTTAGCACTCAAGTGTAAGATTTGCAGAAAATGAATCCAAATAATCGTGTCTCCTTGTTTCCAGATAAGAATTTTTAAGAAAACACGAGGGAACATCTCTCTCAGGTTCACGTGAGGGTAATTTTTATATCAGTGATTCTCAACCGGCAGTGATTTTTGTCTCTTCCATTAGGGGACATTTGACAATGTCTGGAGACACTTTTGGTTGCTATGACTAGGGAGGGCGTTATTAGCATTTACTAAGTAGAGGCCAGAATGCCTCTCTCATTTACTAAGAAGAGGCCAGAACGTTCGAATGCTGCTGCCCAACCTTCTACAAGGCACAGAGCAGTCCTCCACAGCAAATAATCTTCTGGCCCAAAATGTCAACAGTGCTGACATCAAGAAACTCTGATATACCATTAGGCCCAAACTGAAGAACTGGGTTCTGCAAATCTTGCTAAGAATAATACTTCTTAAAGGAAACTTGAGGACTAGGATGCTAGAGAACTTTGATTTTACATCTGAAGCTACTGATGTCTTGGGAAATAATTTCCAACACTATCCTAATAAATTTAAGACAAATGAACTATTTCTCAAACATGACTGGGACTGATCAGAAAGTGAGAAGTGCTGAAAAGATTCAACTGATGGGTTGTCGGAATCTTAAAATAGCTGTGCTGTGATTCTATGTGTGACTATACATCATAACTATTTTATTTGTATTATGCACAATTAATTTTGTAGGTTCAAATTTCAGATGTTTTTAAATTTGTCATCCTTTCCTCCCTCATTGATATCACCCCTTCGATACATACACACTTTGAGCCTGCTGTTTGCATGTTAACCAGTTATCAAAGGATGGCAAAGCGTTCGTTATGAATATGGGCCTGACTTAGCCAGTGTAATAAGTGTAGTCTACCTGAGGTGGGGTACATTTCCTGTTTTATAAGACCAATGTGTATGTTCATCTAATTTGGTATAAAGTATTCAAGGAAGTGCTGTTTCCAATTGTTGTATCTTATAGCAAAATTTAAAGAAAAAGTAACATTGTGCCTTCCCCAATATTCCTGTTATTGTTAATGTATTCTAAAACTCAGTGTTACTCACTTAGCTTGCTTTTAATGTTTTTTTCTAACTTCATCATCTTAAAGTGAAAAATTGTTCCCAAGTACATAAAATCTCTACTTTCAGGAACAATTCTAGTCGAAAGCATTTAGAGCTTTCACATGAACACTTACAAAGTTGTTATTTGTGAGAGTCCCATCCCAACTCTTAGCCTACTCTTTTCTCACACGCAGAAAAATTGGAAAGAGATTTCATTTCGACCGTCTGCAAATTCCTGTGTTTAAGAACCACTGTGAATAATCCACCTCCCTACCCAATTCCCAATTCGACATGCAGTTTTCCTGACAGTTTGTATGTTTTCTGTCTTTCCCACCCTTAAATTTAGTTTTATGACTTCAACCACACTTCTTAGGAGTGGAAAGTTACCTGTAATAGATTATGGTTTATTCCACATAATCTTGGGGAATAAAACTTTAAAAAAGTTTATGGTTTATACTTCTGGTTTACATTACTTCCTTAACCAAAAGTCTAACTAAGAAATTTGAATATTTTAAAAAAAAAAGAGCCTAATTTTGCTTCCTTGTCTGTGAAAAGAATTATCTATATCTTTTGCATGTAAGACAAATCTCAGTGAAAATGGTGCTTAAATAGAAGTTAACACTATTTTAAAGCAAGAGTGGAAGTGGCTTCATCATGCATAAACAACAACTCTCCACATTTTGTAACGATTGATCCAGATGCAATTTGTAGTCAGACAGGAGAAGTTGAAAGCAGAGAAAGAACACTGGGAGATAGAGAAGCTCCTTCATTCAATGCAAAAGGTCAAAGGCACATCAGTTTCTTTAATAATGCAAACCTCAGCACACATGATCAGTGTCCTCATTATTATTGCCTTGTTTATTTCCCACTGCTCACTGTTAATTTCAACGTGAAATTTACCTGTATTGCTGCATGCATCTTGCAGTTTAAGAAGCGAAGTAACCCAATTTCCAAGCTAGTGCTTTCAGGAAAATACTGGATTGTATTTACTTCGAGCAGAGTTTGATAATTTATGGACATCATAAAAATTTTAAATCCCTTAATTAATATAGCAATTGCCAAAACTGGGCTGTTATCCTTCTAAACTACCGGCCCAAATGGTAGTGGGATCCTTCTAAACTACCGGCCCAAATGGTAGTGGGATCCTTCTAAACTACCAGCCCAAATGGTAGTGGGTATCTAATCTACCTCTAGAAAGAAAATGGACTGTGTTTGCTCTATTTCCTTTTTCTTGTACAGCTTGCCACCGAGACATTTATAAAGGAATTGATATGAGAGGAGTCAATTTTAATGTATCTAAGGTTAGCAGTGTTGAAGAATGCCAAAAAAGGTGCACCAATAACATTCGCTGCCAATTTTTTTCATATGCCACACAAACATTTCACAATGCAGAGTACCGGTGAGTATAATTCATGGTGTTTGTTCTTTATATTAGTGCCCCCAGGATTTCACTGTATTCTTCACAACCTCTTTTGTTCCCAAACTAAAAACCAAACAGGGCTTTTACTCCTAACCACTTTCCTTATTTACTTACTCTATTTTATATTTTTATCTTCTTTTTTTTTTTTTTTTTTGAGACGGAGTCTCGCGTGTTGCCCAGGCTGGAGTGCAGTGGCTCAATCTCGGCTCACTGCAACCTGTGCTTCCTGGCTTCAAGCAATCCTCCTTCCTCAGCCTCCCATGTAGCTAGGACTACAGGCGCCCACCACCACACCTAGCTAATTTTTATGTTTTTACTAGAGACGGGGTTTTACCATGTTGCTCAGGCTGGTCTGGAACTCCTGATCTCGTGATCCACCCACCTGGGCCTCCCAAAGCACTGGGATTACAGGCATGAGCCACTGCTCCCGGCCCTTCATTTTAAAGTTAAATAATTCATTTAATTTAATTAGTTTCTCTACTCTTTTCCTCTGGCAGGTAATTGTACCCCATCTTCAAAGCCTGGCATCCTCTTCCACCACTTCTCCAAAGGCTGATTCTTTCAGGTCTTTCCTCAGATACCGTCCCCTCCAAAGGGCCATTTCTGAGCATTCTCTTTTAAGCCACATTCAGCTCTGTTTATTTCATTCGTAGAGCTAATCACAATTTGATTTTAACTTGTGAATTTCTTTCCTTATTTTTAAATCTCATTTTTGTTTGCATAGATGTATGGGGTACAAGTGTAATTTTGTTACCTTGGTGTATTGTACAGTGGTAAAGTCTGGGCTTTTGGTATATCCATCACTGGAGTCACGTACATTGTACCCACTAAGCAATTTGTCATCACCTGCCCCTTTCCCACCTCTCTATCGCCTTCCCAGTCTCTACTGTCGATCACTCCATGCTCTTCTCAGTTGTGGTGTCATTTTTCCTGAAGCGAAATTTTGGTGTCATTGTTTCTGAAGTCATTTTCTGACGTCTGTGTCATTTTTTGCTTTCCTGAAGTGAATTTTGGTGTCATTTTTCCTGAAGTTCCATTTGCCCCACGCATAGGCCTTACTTATAGAATGAGGGTTTAGTGTCATGGTGTCTCCTGCCTCATTCTCACCCCAACTTTCCCTTGACCCCTTTGCGAGGAGAAGGATGTCCATTTGATTAATAATGCAAACCCCTAACCCACTCATTATCAGCATCATTGTTTTTTCCACTGTCCGTTTGAATACTAAATGTTACCTGGACTGCTACCTCCGCCTCAAAGTGCAGGAAGCAAAGTCACCTCTTTTCTTCCCATTCAGGAACACTTGCCTCTTAAAGCACAGTCCCGGAGGAACGCCTACCACTATAAAGGTGCTGAATAACGTGGAATCTGGATTCTCACTGAAGCCCTGTGCCCTTTCAGAAATTGGTAATTGTAGGACCACTTCACCTTGTGATTGTAGTAGGCGGAATAGGACCCCCCAGAGATGTCCCTGTGCGGAGCCCCGGTACCTGTGCGTGTGTTCCCATAGCTGGCAAAAGCGTTTCTATCAATGGGATTCAGTTAAGGACTTTGAGATGGGGAGTTTACTCTGGATTTCCTCGATGGGCCCAATGTACTCACAGGATTGGGTGCTCACAAGGCTAATAAGAAAAAGGGAGAGGCAGAAGGGTCAGAGGCAGAGAGAGGTTTGAAGGTGTTACACTGCTGGCTTTGAAGATGAAGGTCCATGAGCCAAGGAATGCAAGTGGCCTCTAGAAGTTGAAAAGGGCGAGGAAACAGTTTCCCTGTGGAGCATCCTGGAGGAACAAGCCCTGCTGATGTCTTGATTTTAGCCCAGTAAGACCCAATCTCTAGAATGGTAAGATAATAAATTTTTGTTGTTTTTAACCACTGAGTTTGTGGTTATGCCCCTATAGCAGCAGTTATAGGAAACTAGTACAGTGATATTGTTATAGGTACAATGATATTGTAGCAAAACTGTAAGGACCTTCCTTGGTTGTGTCCCTATCTAGGGAAATGACTCTACCGGGGGGAGGGAAATAACATTCTGTCGTGTCACACATAAAGGTAATTTCAATGGAATTGTCCAGAAAATTGCCATGACATTCCACCTCATTTAGCGTATCAGGATGTTAACGACAAGATGTTACTGAAACCAAATCCCTTACTGCCAGTTCTCCGCAGTAGTGGGTGCTGGCTCTGTGCCTGGCCCTGTATTGGGTGCTGGGCTAGGATTTCCCTGTGGAAGATTGGGAAGGTTGGTTACAAGGTGTCTATTTTCCTGTCTCCTCTTTGTGACAGCACACCTTCTCCACGGTGCGTGCCAGGTTCACGTGTACTGGTGATGTGATTTTAACGTTCATATTATTTTTTTCCGGGAGAGTTTTTGAAGGCTGCCAGGAGGCAGGACTCGATGCAAGCATGCTCCATTCTGTACCCAGCACTGTTGCTGGAAGGATTTGCTGCACTTACCCAGGGAACAGGCAAGCTCATGCCGTGGTTCTGGGCTGTCACAGCTGCTGTCCACACCTGGGAGAGCACCCTGGATGGCTCATCTCTGTACTTGCTTTCTTGTTAAATTGCAGTGAGTTCACATGTGATTTAATCTGATCAAATGGCCTTTACAGACTGGTAAAAATCTGGCTGTTTCAGGCAGTGTTTTGAGCTGCTAAAGGCATGGCTTTTCACTGAGTACGTGTTCCCCGTTCCTTAGGGAACACCCAGTAGCTACGTGCCTCCTCAACCTGGAGTAGGGCTGTCTCCTGGCCTCACTGCCCAGATGAGATTCATAAGTTAGGGATCATCTGTAGTCATCACTACAGGTTTGTCCTTAGTTTCACCATGGATTTTTCTAATTTTACAAACAAAACCCCTAAGGCTCCTAGAAGGAGGGCAGAAGTGAAGGTGCTTGGGGGTCATATAGCTGATGAGCTGAACGAGAACTTGACCCTTGGGTCACACAGATTTCACATTGCTCACTCCCCATTTTGATTTTTTAATGGATTTAATGGTGTTTTAAAGTCTCCTGCCTCTCAACTCATATAAATTCATCATATTTACAGATTTCCTTCTCTTGCGGTCCATCTTCCTGCATAGATCTTGACAGATGTCAGGGTAATCACATCTTCCCAGTTAATTTAACAAAACCGTTTGCAATTCTGATATGGGAAATCTACCATATGACTTATTAATTTATCAATTGAGGTGATAAACATATTTTTCAAGCCAAAAGTAGGAGAACATAAACTGGAAAAAAAAGTTTTTTTATTTTTTATTTTTTTATTTTTATCACCTCTGGGGAAGAAAATCTGATAAATGAACCTGGTTGATGAAATTGCAATTAGTGGGAGCAACATCATGGTTTCTGTTCTGAGAATAACCAGATGGTATACTTGAAATAGAGAATGTCCTAGAAATCAACTGGTTGCTTGGCCAAAATATCTATAAATAGTGCCCGACATATTAGATAGGAAAAGCAAAGTAAAAGCAATTTTAATAGGTTAGGACATTGGGCTGAAGTATTGCATATATTTAATGTCACGTGCATCTGTGTGAAGAGACCACCAAACAGGCTTTGTGTGAGCAATAAAGCTTTTTAATCACCTGGGTGCAGGAAGGCTGAGTCCAAAAAGAGAGTCAGGGAAGCGAGATAGGGGTGGGGCCATTTTACAGGATTTGGGTAGGTAACGGAAAATTACAGTCAAAGGGGTTGTTCTCTGGTGGGCAGGGGTGGGGGTCACAAGGTGCTCAGTGGGAGAGCTTCTGAGCCAGGAGAAGGAATTTCACAAGGTAATGTCATCAGTTAAGGCAGGAACCGACTATTTTCACTTCTTTTGTCATTCTTCAGTTACTTCAGGCCATCTGGATGTATGTGTTCAGGCTTAGGCCCAGAGGCCTGACATTCCTGTCTTCTCATATTAATAAGAAAAATAAAATGAAATAGGAGTAAAGTGTTGGGGTGGCAAAAATTTTGGGGGTGGTATGGAGAGATAATGGGCAATGTTTCTCAGGGCTGCTTCGAGCAGGATTAGGGGTGGCATGGGAACCTAGAGTGGGAGAGATTAAGCTGAAGAAAGATTTTGTGGTAAAGGTTGATATTGTGGGGTTGTTAGTGGGAGCATTTGTCGTATAGAATGATTGGTGATAGCCTGGATATGGTTTTGTATGAATTGAGAAACTAAACAGAAGACATAAGGTCTGAATAAGAGAAGGAGAAAAACAGGTATTAAAGGACTAAGAATTGGGAGGACCCAGGACATCTAATTAGAGAGTGCCTGAGGGGGTTCAACATAATTAGTTGCTTGGTTGCTGAGTTTTTGGGCTCTATCCTTGACAGAGTCCTCCTTCTTAAGTTGGAGGCTGAGCTTGGTGAGGTGTGTTTTTAAAAGGCCATTAGTCCTTTCTACCTTTCCTGAAGATTGAGGAGAGTAAGGAGTATGAAGGTTTTACTGACTACTAAGAGCCTGAGAAACTGCTTGGGTGATTTGACTAATAAAGGCCAGTCCATTATCAGATTGTATAGAGGTGGGAAGTCCAAACCAAGGAATTATGTCTTACAGAAGGGAAGAAATGACCACGGTGGCCTTCTCAGACCCTGTGGGAAAGGCCTCTACCCATCCAGTGAAAGTGTCTGCCCAGACCAAGAGGTATTTTAGTTTCCTGACTCGGGGCATGTGAGTAAAGTCAATTTACCAGTCCTCTGCAGGGACAAATCCCCAAGCTTGATGTGTAGGGAAGGGAGGGGGCCTGAACAATCCCTGAGGAGTAGTAGAATAGCAGATGGAATACTGAGAAGTGATTTCCTTGGGGATAGATTTCCACAATGGAAAGGAAAAGAGGGGTTTTAAGAGGCAGGCTAGTGGCTTGTAACTTACATGGAAGAGGTTACGAAATGATGACAGAATAGAATGGGCCTGTGAGGCTGGAAGGAGATATTTTCCTTGGTCCAAGAACTATTTGCCTTGTGTGGGAAGAGATTGATAGGTGGAAGTTTCAATGTGGGAGTAGATGGGAGTGACCGATTAGAGGGAGGAAAAACTGGCCGTGAGGGACAGAAGTTGGAATGCTAGCTGCTTTTATAACTACCTTATCAGCATGGGTGTTGCCTTGAGCAATGGGATCTGATGCCTTTTGATGGCCCTTGCAGTGAATGACTCCAGCTTCCTTTGGACGTAAAGTGGCCTTGAGAAGAGTTTTTATTAAAGAGGCATTAATGATGGAGGACCCTTGCAGAGTGAGGAAACCTCTTTCAGCCCATATAACAGCATAGTGGTGCAGGATATGGAAGGCATATTTAGAGTCAGTGTAAATATTGATGCATAGTCCCTTTGCAAGAGTGAGGACCTGAGTTAAGGCAATGAGTTTGGCTTGCTGAGAGGTAAGTTAAGGCAATGAGTTTGGCTTGCTGAGAGGTAGTGGAGGGGTGCAGAGTGGTAGCCTCAATGATAGATGTAGAAGATATTATAGCATACCCTGCCTTTGCTGGTGGGTGGAGATTAGGCCTGGTGGAACTGCCATCAATAAACCAAGTGTGATTAGGGTAAGGAATAGGAAAGACAGAAGTATGGGGAAATGGAGTGGATGTCAGGTGGATCAGAGAGATACAGTCATGGGGATGGGGGCCAGCCTAAAACAGTAAGGTCAAGTTGTTTCGACAGAAAGCCTACAGGGCATGGTCCTGGCTCTTGTGTAAGAATTTTGACTGCACAGCCCTGTACTTTGGCTGTGTGTAATGAAAAGGGTTGGGATGAATTAGGGAGAGCTAGTGTGGGAGCAGCTTCTAGTGCTGTTTTTAAGGAATGGCAAGAGGAGTGGCTAAAGGATTTAGGATCTATGGGGTCAGCTAGGTTTGCTTTTGTGAGTTTATATAATGGTTTAGTTAGGATGGTAAAACTAGGTATCCAAAGGCGGAAGTACTTAATGCCTAGGAAGAAAAGGAGTTGTTGTTTTGTAGAAGGGGTTGGGGCTTGGGAGATTAGCCAGACATGATCAGCAGGGAGAGCACGTGTGTTCTCATGAAGAATTATGTCCAGATAGGTAATGGATGAGGAAGAAATTTGGGCTTGACTGAAGTAATGGGGGCTGTCTGTGAAGCCTTACAGCAGTACAGCCCAGGTAATTTGCTGAGCCTCATGGGTGTCAGAGTCAGTCCAAGTGAAAGCAAAGAGAGGCTGGGATGAAGGGTGCAAAGGAATAGTAAAGAAAGCATGTTTGAGATCCAGAACAGAATAATGGGTTATGGAGGGGTTGTGGAGGGAGGTATTGAGGATAGGAGAGTATATATCCACTGGGTGGATAGGCAAGACAGTTTGGTTGATAAGGCACAGATCCTGAACTAACCTGTAAGGCTTGTCTGGTTTTTGGACAGGTAAAATGGGGGAATTGTAAAGAGAGTTTATAGGCTTTAAAAGGCCATGTTGTAGCAG